GTATGATATAAAATGATGTAATTTAAAATAGTAATTTATCTTATGACACAAGATAATGTAATGTGATATACTATACAATAATGGACTATACAATTATGATACAATATAATACAACATGGTATAGTATAGTATGATGGAGTTATGTAATACAATAAAAACTGCATATAGAATAATGTACTATACTGTACTGAAACGATATACTATACCAAAATAGATTCTGTGTTGATATAATATAGCACCTAATATTTTAGTATAATCTAATAGAATATACGGTAGTATAAGAAGATATAGTATATTAAAATATTCTACAATATATTATGATTCAAAACTGAAATAATATAATATACTGTACCATAGTAGTACAGTATACTCTATTAGAATATATTACATGATAATATAGAATATTAGAATATATTATATTATGCCATATTAAGCTATGTTATGAATGTTATATTATATTAAACTCTACTATATTATGTTGTGGTACATAATGAACTATTTATGTTGCGGTACATAATAAATTATTATATCGTAGTATAGTATGTGATTTTGAATTATAGCGCGGTATGTTCTATTATGAGAACTGGATCAGTTTCTATTGAAAACTATATAAGTTATATTATTTTCTACTATAATAATTTATATGATATTACAATATGTTTTGCTATACTATATTGTAGTATGTTATATTAAATTTTCAATATAGTATACTTTGTTATGTTGCTCTATATGACAATCAAATGTATTCTACTGTAGAAATATATATTATAACACAACATAACATAACATAACATAACATAACATAACATAACATAATATGCTGTATTAGTATAGCATAATATTTGCATATATATATATATACATACATACATACATACATACATACATACATACATACATACATACATACATACATATACACATATAGTATACTATTTTATGTTGCTTTATATTACAATAAAATGTATTTTACTGTAGAAATATATAATATAACACAACATAAGCGATACCGTCGGCCTCAGGGTCTCCATGCTTCCGGGCCGTGAGTCGCCAACAGTCCCGCGCCTGCAAAAAGCGTCTACCAGGCGAAGCGCAGCGATCAGCCGCCGTAGGGTTTAGGGTTTAGGGTTTAAGGGGTTAGGTTTTGGGGAATTTAGGGTTTAGGGTTTAGGGTCTGGTTAGGTTTTGAGGTTTTAGAGTTTAGGGTTTGGGGGTTTGAGATTTAAGGGTCTAGGGTTTGGGGGATAAGTGTAGCCGTCCACAGCCTTACACTTTAGAACACCTCACAAAACGGAAAGGCCTCCAAAAACCCTGAAGCCTAAACCTTGAACATTATCCTTTAAGGTATATTCCTTCATTCCCTTATGGATCCCTTAGAGATCCCTTTAAGGAACTTACTCCGAAGATCTTCGAAAAGGCCAGGGCATGGACCCACCTCCGCAGGCGCTCGAACTCCAGGTCCACAGGAGGCGGAATTCCTCTTCGGAGGCTCCAGAGCTACCGCCAGCTCCCCAAGAGCTTCTGAGTTGGCTTTTTTTTTAGGATTTAGGGTTTAGGGTTTAGGGTTTAGGGTTCTGATTTGGGTTTAGGGTTGAGGGATGCTACATGTCTGTCTGCCTGTATGTATAGATAGATGGATGGATGGATGGATGGATGGATGGATGGATGGATGGATGGATGGATGGATAGGTAGATAGTAATGAGTTGCATGCGGGGTCGCCTAGATTCTAGTCCTGCGCATTCTATCCCTGCCGGCTGTTCCAAGCCTGAAGCCCGAGACCCCCCGACAAAAAGCCTGGAAAATGAGATTCCTCCCCTAAACCCTAAACCCTCAACCCTAAACCCCTTACAGATGGGCAGAAGCACACTCCTAGGTGCATGCGCTGGTGCTTCGGCAGGCCAGCTCCAGCATCTGACCTGCAGGGGCGAGCCGGGAAACCGAAGCCTCCAAACACCAAAACCCGCAAAGCCAAATCGGGTTTTGTACCAAAGCTGAGGGTGTAGGGTGTAGCTTCGTCTAGCCCGGAACCCGACACAGATGACCCTTCAAGCTCAAGCTCCTGCCTTCGTATGGCACATTTCGGCGGGGGCCCAAGGATTGACCGCCAGACCTGCAGAGATACGCCTTTGCCAAACAACACCCCCCTTCTGCCCTTAACTCTAAGTGTAGGGCTCGGGGTTTGAGGTTTAGGATGTTTATTTTTGGTTTGGGGTTGGGAGTCTAGGGTTTAGGGTTTAGGGGGCCAGAGGGCACCGGCGACAGATCTGCTGAAACGCTCTACTTAGAGGGATCATCTCGAGATTCAGAAGCCTGCAAGGAGCTGTTCTGGCCCGAACTCGAGGATGCCAGCCTCGGCCGCAGCGAGAGTCCAACTGTAAAAAGCAGCTCGAATGGCGTTGTCTGAATTTCACGAGGGGTCCGCAAACATCGAGAAAAGTCTGCAGCCTTCCTGCGGTCTGCCGTCTGCGCTCCGAGCAAGTGCAGTAATATGGGATGACACAGTACAAATTAATCATGTAATATAACATAATAATTATACTACAAGCATAGTATACTGTTGTTGCACATTTTTGCAGGGCTCCGGTGCTACTGCAAGCAAAACCAAATTCCGAAGCACAGCTCACAGCTCCGGGCGGAGCTTTCGGCAAGGTTGCTTCCGCAGCTCGGATCTGTGCAGGGCAATGGACAACGCTTTTTCAGACTGGTTTATTGTTTAGGGTTGGGGGTCTAGGATTTGTTGGTTTATGGGGTCAGAATTCAGTCAACATGGGGTGCAGCGCAACAGAGCTGCACCGGCCTGCCATTCACGTTTGGCCTGGGCCGCCCGCAGCCGAACAGAACTGTGGTGTGGCAATGCCTGGGCCTTGAGTGAGATGTGCAGGGTTTAGGATTTGTCTTAGGGTTCAGGGTTTGGGGATTTATGTGTTTAGGGCTTTAGGAGGACTTGGATTGGATAAGTACTGCTCTGAGGCGAGGACTAGCGAAAGACTCTGCTCGTGCAGCTGCCGCAAGCGTTCCCAGAACTCCATCTTGCTCGCACCCCTAGGCCTGGATCATTGTCAAGACTGCAAACTGCCCTTGCAGTCAAGAAAGACCTGCACAACGGGCGAGCCCTTGTTTAAACATGCGCCGAAGCCAAAAAAGCCGAGTGACCCTGTGTACTCCAGCTCCAGAGCCTGGCACTGTCTCGCCTGGACCTGACTTCGCGTCTCGCCACAAAACATGCATAGAGGTTGTAGACTTGGGCAAAAACGAATGAGGCAAGTGTCGAAACCACTATTACCCGGCTTCGGCTTCACTTTGCACATCGCGTTAAGGCCCTCTCAGCGATCTCAACCGCACGCTCCAGCATGGTGCGTGAGACTTGGCCGCCCTGGCAAGAAGCTCCCCGCCCTAAACCGCAGGACCCTTCCTACTTGGGCCTTGTCCGAGTCGATCGAGGGCCTCCGAGCCTCTGCGACTTTTGCAAGTCCCAGGAAGCCAAGGGGCGCGGGGAGAGAGCGGAGCCTTCTCGTAGAGCTCGGACACGACGAAATCGGCCGCCTCCATGGACGACTTTGCAGTTTCGCAGCTCTTCAAGATGCACACCCACTGGAGACTCCGACCCATCCTCCGAGGCGTTTTGAGCCACATCCAGTGCTTCCGGATGCCGCGCAGCCTGCCAGACACACAGAACACGAAGAGAGAACTGAGTAGGACAGCAGTATCGGGTGACTCGCATGGCCTGCGACAGCCCGGCACACAAGAGCACTTGCACGCCGACCCTTGCCAGAGCCACCTGCGATGCGTCTACAGTCTTTGCTAATTCCCGAAATCCCGCATCCACACTTTCCGCGCAGTCTCAGTGCACTGCCAGGTCTTGTCTCTTTGTCTTCTCAGGCTGACCCCTCAACGAGTCTTGAGCACACTTGCCTCATCCATTTGGTCGTCGGACTCCACATCCGCAAAGGCTTGCTCGAGCAGCTGAACAGCCTGCAAGCTCGGACATAACGAAGGCGGTCTGCAGGTGGGGTTTCCTTAGCAACGAGCCGGACATGGCTAGATGTTCCGAGATCGAGCAGAAACGGGAATGGATCGCATCGGCAAGCTCTTTGCAGATGGAAGCAGTCATTTGGAATGGAACTCGAATCTCTTTTCAAGGCCTCCTCAACTTCACTCGCGAGGATCAGCTGTGAAGCCGCCTCGAGTTCAATCCCCCAGCAGCCTTCCCCAGAGTCATCAGAAGAAGTAGACTTCCCCTTTTCAAGCTTTGCCCTGCCAAGCTGACTTAAAAGTTGAGGGCCACGCCTCAGCCAAAGATTCCAAGGAGCCTAGCAGGGCCTGGCGCTCCGTCGCAGCCAGACCCTGTTTATGGACGATTGCATGTCTTGCATCTTGGCCTTGCCTGCACACTTGAAGCAACTTGAGGTTGCTGGGCCTGTGCGGCGCAGTGGCACGGCAACAATAACCTCAAAACGCTGCCCTGTCCACTAGCTGCTGTCATGAGCCTTGACCCCTTGACCCACCAGAAGCATGAAACACTGTCGCAATAACAACACATCACGCTTCCGCGGAAGTTCCCTTCACATCCCTTTTCCAGCCTTGTCCAGTGTGTCTGCATGCCTAGCACAGGGGTGGGTCTATCCCATAAAGCTGAACAACATTGCAGCGGCTCATGGTCGCAAATCCGTGCATGCATCGCTCAGTATAGCATCGACTTCAACTCATGAAGGAGACTAAAGATGCCTGACAGTGTAAGCGGTGGCACAGGGCCAGTGCGACCACACGCGCTGATGCGTACAGGGCTTCTGCTTCTGGGGCGACTAGGTGACTAGGTCTCATCAGCCCTGCAGATCTGTGCAACTGCTGTGCGAGCGAGTGACTCTGCAGCATCTGCAAAGATGTCGCTCACGTCCGACGCGAGTGACAAGCGTCGGGACTCGCGCCGCCTCATCCGAAACTGGAGAGCTTTGAGAGGCTTTGTGAGTTCTTGCGGGGAATACATCAGACAACCACGCTGCCAGCCAAAAGCGACAAGCAAAGAAGGTATAAAATCAACTGACAGCAGTCCGACACGCCAACGATCCATGAAATCTAGAGCCAAACATCCCCCAATGCAAAACGGCAATCTGGCAAGAAAGACGATTGGCTTCACATACCTCAGTACCAAGCTTTGGCAGCAGATGGTCCGCGTCAGCTGCTTCCATGTGCACAGCCTTCCATCGAGCTGGAAACAGCTTCAACCCATCCTCAGAGCTCGAGGAGCACCGGAGCACCTCTAGGCCAGAAACTTCCGCAGGAGGAGGCGCGGCATGGCCAGGTGGAAATGAATCCCTGGATGCTTCGCCGGTACCGGGGGCAAGGTGGGGTTCAAAGGGAAGCTCGCTCCAAGCTTCGAAGACTTGTTGTTGGCATGCCACTGCTGCTCTCAGCGGCTAGCATGTCGGCAACATGCGAATTCATGGTGTGCCCACTGAGCAGCGGCCTGCGGCAAGGTGTTTGCACGCACTTCCTTACCTGAAACCGCTACAAAACAATCGCAGCGCCCACAGCATGCAACTACAATGGGCAAGAAATGCTCTCGCTTCAAGTTTTGGGGGGACCGAGGATGCACTTCCAAATCCAAACAGCATGGCTGGGCGTTGGACTCTTCTTGGAAAGCCTCCAAAGCTGGAAATCGGAGCTCATCAGCATATTCCCGAATTGCCGGGTGTATGGGATCACGTGCACAGCACTCGCAGCTTGCTCGAAGACCGCAGATGTGAACAGGACAAGCCAAGCCGTTCTTCTGACAGCACAACTCCCTCCATGCTGCCTATGGGGTTACAAGTCCCCTCTTATGGCTTATAAGAAAACAGTATAGTGGCCCTATTTATAACTAGCCGTCCAGGAGTCTAGCATCAAGAAACAACCAGAAACCTCATTTCCTACGCAGCCTCCAACTGTGAAGGTATCCTCGCCAGTGCTTCCAGCACCTTAGATGAGCGGCAAGCACACAACACCATCTTTGTTCCGACGCCTGAATGACGCAAACATTCAGACGCAACATCCATCCAAACAGAAAGCGCACATAGATCCCTGATTGGGACCCAAGCTCCAGCAGCTAGATTGTCCGCCGACTGCGCAACACCTCGGGTGGCCGGAAAACTCGCTTGTGAAGGAAGCGTGTATTTTAAACATGATACATGATATGGATTAAGGGTTTAGGGCTTTAGGGCTTGAGGCCTTAAGGCTTTAAACGGTCTAGGGTAACCTGCATTGTCTGCTGAGTCCAGTGGCTTCTGGAAGCGAAGGCACCCGTGGCAGTGACTGGAAAGTCCGGGCTCCTCAAAACCTGCAACAGCAAGTCTCGTCGGCAACACCTCACTACCAAACCAGATGTGGATCAAGCCTCTGCATTCTCGCAAGTCAAGAGCGCAAGGTACCGGTCCACCTACAACTTTGCAGCTTGAGCATCGCATTCGCCATACGCATACTCTGCGGCATCCTCAGGCACGACCACACACCAATAATAAGTACGAAAGCAGCCCAACAATTGGCATGCACCTGTTCGCGGCTGGGTGCCGGAAGACTTGCTTCAGGACCTGTCTTGCAAAAACTGCTGGATGCCGGGGGAGCAGGAAACCGCCCAACCACTGTGCATCAAGATGCCTCTAACAAACTCACCATTGCCTGTTGCAGACAACATAAGCAAACACCTGCCAACAAGAAGACATCTGGACACGGAGCAACCAAGCCGGCCGACGAATTAGCCGTGGCGGGTGTCGCACCAAATAAGCCTCATGCCGTCGGAACAGGTTGTGCAGATATCATACAAACAACCGCAAGCACAGTGATGTGAGGTGCTGACCATTGCAAGGCTGTTCCAAGCCCCCTCCAGGGGGTCTTGAACCAACCTAAAAACGGCCCGTCTGCGAACAAAACCAGCTCCAGACAAAAACAGTGCAATATGTGTCAGCGGAAATGACTTGAGGCGGTAGTACCCTTCGAGGAAAGAAACACGTCATGTGTTCGAACAGCATGTCAGTATGCAGCAATCGCCTTATGGCTAGGAAGTTGCACAGTTATCAACCAAACTCGATAAACAGATGTACAGATTGAATTTCCATGTCGTGTAGAAAATGACGAACGCACATAACGGGAATCTTCTGAACAAAACTTATCGGATCCATCGCTCCCAATGTGAGGAAGCACACGCACTGGCAAAGTCCACGGCAAGGAATGCATGTGAGGCACATTGCGACTGTCGTTAGCAATAGATGCAACGAAAGCCAGGCTCGTTCATTGACTTGCTACACAAGGCAAATCTGTCGTGTGCCCCCAACAATTCGCGAAGCCTCTGGCCCATGAAACCAAGATTTGAGACCTTATCAGCAATCCTGCATGCAAGACCTGCAGGCGCTTGCCGATCTTATGTACAAAAGTATTCAACGAAGTGTACGTTTTTTTTGATTGTGCTGAATCCGGCCTCTAAGACTGCTGCGCTACACAGAAGCAAACTTGTCGAAAATGAAACATTCCGGCTCTAACTCATTTCTCGTCCAGTTAAGAGCTACATTAAGTGAACAAACGCGGATTTTCCAAGCTTTGAAACTTTAAAGCCATGATCGTTGTGATCAGCCGAGGCCTGAAAAGAATCACTGCAAGCCAAACTGTGAAAATCTGAGATTGTCCAGGCGTAAAGCGATCCAACCATCCCAGTTCCCTTTAAAACCAAAGCGCTGGGGCTTTTCCGTGGATGCAAGCATTCAAACCTTGAACGACTGTTACGCAAGGCCGTTCACATTTCAATTTGATGACTCTCCAACCGAAGCAAAAAAACGACCCGAACTGTTCAGTTTACCCGCTTACTGTTGCTGTTGCACTTGGTAAGAACGCAGCAAGTTTCTCAACGTGTTTGCTTGAAAACGAATACGTGTTCAAGACAAGCAGTAACTGGCTACACTTCGGAGTTATCCGCTGCATCTTGCCGAAGAATGGCGACTCTGCGCGCAGATTTTGCGACTCCAACAACGAGCTGGTAAGTGGCTTTCCGGCACTAAATGCAGGCTCAAAAATGAGTCCGTTTTCTGAGCCTTCGGGAATCTGCC